TTCTTTGGTCAAAAGTCAGCCTCTAGGTGATTTTACTTTTTGATGTGTTGAATTGTTTTATCATAGCTTTCCTAACTGAATTATTGCATGGGGTCTCCAAAAACTAACCGAAGACGAGTGTCTTTTTATTCACTAGCAAGTGTTGGTTCTCAGTGAATCTGGAAATGAGATTGATTTGTGGTCTGGTTGAGAAATTTTAATACTTACCGGAGCCGCCTCACAGCGATTCTCGAGGGTGTTTTTGGTTCTGCTTCGTTGTTGTTGGCCTCCTGTGTTTGTCCCTCTCTTGGAATCTGGGGTCATCCCTGTTCAGTGCGTTTCCTCATGTATGCGTCCACGTAGTGTATGTTCAAGTCTAGATTGGCCGCGGAATTGGCCGCGGTGGTAGTGCGCCCGACTCACGATCGGAAGACCGTGGGTTCGATTCCTGCCTCAATCAGATATTTTTCTCATGAGAATTTATCTGGTTGAAGCTGTGATGATTCTGCAACCGTGTTATGAATCACTCGTTAAAAGGTAAGACCTCGTTAGTCCTTAGCTCGCACAAGTTTCTCAACTTCTGAGAGTTGTCGTTCGTATGGGGGCGACAGCTGATTAGCGGAAAAACAGATTTTTTTAAACAGTTCCCGGAATATGTATCTATTCGGTACATATCTTTGAGCGTTTACGGCGGCCCTTACGCACGCGTTCATAAACGACTAGATTTGTCTTCTGTATGTCGCTGCGCACTGGCCCCAGGCAGTGCAGGCATACAGGATTATCGGTAATATTACGGTCTTTATCATCATCATTTTCAGTCCCATGTTGCTTCTTCGACCTATTATTGGTAATAGGTTTTGTCGGGCAGATCTTGCCATTCCTATTCTCTGCCATACGTAAGACCTGAACGTTAATCCTTGTTTAGGTTGACCCCAAGTATCAAGCTTCGTTGGTCCACGGAATCCCTTGCCCGTTGAAGATGACATTTCCTTCCGGGTGTACCCTCCTCCGGGTGAACTGTATTGCCTGACTCTTTTTAGGGTTTATATTGATCTTCCACAGGTTGAAAAAGCCTTATCGAAACAGCAACTATCCTGTAAACAATGGATTACATGAAAGAAGAATACTTTCGAAACGAATACTTTTATATGAATACTGAATTATACAAAAAACACTTTTCTCTAATCAGTTTATATTTCAAACACTTGTTATGGAATTGAATCAGATATCATTCACAGAATGGCTACACGATATAATGAATTTCACTCACTTGGAAAACTGTCATCTTCACTGTTGGACATCCGATGTTTTGGCATAAAGCACGAAATTTGGATAATATCATAAGTTGAACCACTCAACTCATTCATAAAATCATTACTTTATGTCACGAATGAGTTTAATCGATGACAGTGCCCAATGACATTCATTCGCTCATTTGATTAAATCCCAGCCATCTTGTTTTTTTAATAGATTATTTTTGGGAAAACAAGTTTTGGATTTCTACTTCTCCATCATTTTACAAAAAATGTGGGAATCGTCCAAAAGAATTGAAGGAAGCAATCAATTCCAGATAAGTGTGGATCATACAAATAAGCTACTCTCACATAAACATTGAATTACAAGGAAGAAAATTACTTTCGAGACAAATACTTTTATATGAATTATACAAAAGACACTTTCCTCTATTCAGTTAGTAATTCAAACAATCGTTGTGGAATGGAATCAGTCGATTAATTCTGTCAGCATAAAATTTGTTCTCAGGATTCGATGAAGTCGACGAAGGTTATTTTTGCCTGGTCCTGATTGGCGATGTTACTAATAGAAAAAAATGTTTTNAGTTTTTTTATCGAGAGTAACTAATAAAACTCGTCAACGGTGTAGCAGTTTCTTTCGATAAGATATTTTTTCAATTGTCTTTTGAAAATGCAGATGTTCATTGAAGCCTTGATAGAAACATCTAGCTTGTTGTACAGTTTGGGTCCAAGGTATAGGTGACTCTTCTGATAGAGGGAGGTTCAGTAAGGATTCGCTATCAACAACCCTCTCGTTCTAGTAGCGTATGGGTGGTCTTGCTGGTTTGCGCTATATTTTTTTTTATTCTCATGAACGTAGAGACACATCTCATATATATACAGACCAGCAACTGTGAGTATTTCCAGCTCTTTGAATGAGCTTCTAGATGAGTGTGGCCATGCTAAACTAGCAATTATTCTGACCGCGCGTAATATAAATACTCTTTGAGCAGAGGAGCTCATACCCCAATTCAAAATTCCATAGCGCAAGTAACAGCCAATAGTTGCATAGTACAGATTTAGGAGCACCTCTCTTTCACAATGATTCGATATAAATCTCAGTGCATAACAGTTCTTTCGTAGTTTATCACATAGTGAATCTAAATGAGGACCCTAATTCAGCTTATGATCTAGAATAAGACCTAGCATTTTTTTTCTGGTTTGGATGTCACCTCTAGTTGGCTATCTTCATATATTTTGAGAGTTTCGGTGGTGTTCTGCATTGTGAATTTGACCAATGCTGTTTTGCTGATATTTAGTGCTAAATGATTTTTTTCAGCCCATTTCCTTATTTTCTCATATGTGGATTCTGTTGTTTGTGCAAGTGCTAATGTATTACAATCAGTGACCAGAACAGTTGTATCGTCTGCATATGCAATTTCATGTACCTTTGAAAGACTATTTAGGTATTGTATCAAATCGTTTGCATAAATGTGAAAAAGCAGTGGTCCGAGTGGAACTACTTGCTTGCAGGCCAAGGACTTACTGTGAACACCTTGAATTCTCACTGTTTGTAACCTATTCTCTAGATATGACCTCATCCAATCTTGGGCAACTCCACGAACCCCTTAGCGATGCATTTTCTGGATTAGTACATAGTGATCCACACAGTCAAATGTTCCGCAAAAATCGATGAACAAACCACAAATTTGCAGTTTGTTATCCAAGGCTATTACTAAGTGTTGTATGAAATCATATAAAGCTGTTTCCGTGCTATTATTTTGCATGAAACCATGCTGGTTTGTCGAAAGTAATTCATTCTTGAAGAGAAACCATAGTAACTGATTTTTAATATTCATTTCGTATACCTTGGATATACTAGAGAGAAGACTTACCCCTCTAAAGTTCTCATAGCTATTTGAGTCTCCTTTTTCAAAGATCGGGTTAACGATTGCAACTTTTAATTTCTCCGGGAACATGTCCCGTTCCATGGAAAGATTTATCAGATAGGTCAGGGGGTAGACTATTTCTTTCATGCATTTTTTCAGAAGATTGTTTGAGACCTCATCATATCCACTAACATTAGAATTATTTAATTCATTTATTAAATCAAAAACCTCATATTTCTTGATTGGGTGGAGGAATATGGAGTTTGAGCATAGTGCGACTGTATTTTCCATAAAATTGAGATCATATTCTCTTTGTTTTTCCGCTTTCGTGAGATGAGCATTAAAATTGTTAGCCATGTCAACACATGACACCTTATGTTCTCTACTAAAAATGGAAATATCTTTGGGCTTATAGTTTTTTTCTGGATATTATTTATAGTTTGCCACATGGTTTTTGATTTATTGTGAGGACTATTTATCTTATGCTCAATGCATCGTTGATCATTCTGCTTTAGTTTATCCCTGTATGTTAAAGTTACTTGGCGACATATACCCTTGAAATTTTCGTTCACTCTCGCGCATTCTGAATATAGAGAAACCATGTTCTTGTGGTTATAGAGTTCGGGGGTAAGGGGATTAGAGTTGACTTTCTTTGTTTTTTTTGTCTGTTTCAGTGGAGAAGATACCTCAATGTAATATTGAAGGATTTCATGAAATCTATTATATGTTCCGTTAGGACATGTTTCCTTGTAAATTTTCTGCCAGTTCTCGTTTCCCAGTATTTTAAAATCTGAGATATTTTTCTCTGAGAAAGTTATATAATAAGAACTTGGAACATTGAAGTTATTGGTGGTATTTATTGTTGGGAATTCAATTATATGTCCATAGTAATCTAATAAATGGAAATCCTTGATCTTTACCTTGTAATCTGCCATTTTGGTTATGAGAAAATTATCAATGCACGTGCTCTAGGAGGCTGCCACTCAGGTTGGTTCATATATTGTACACATTATGTTGTACGGGGCTATTACATCATCTAGGTGGTTCCTATTTGACTCACTTTTCGAAAAATTTATATTAAAATCCCCTCCTATAATAACTTTCTCATTATCCCTACAAATTAGTGTCAATAATCCTTCAAGTAAGTCTAAGAACAACTGGAAATCTCCCATTGGTGGTCTATACATACAGATAAAAGTAGTTTCATTTTGTTGTGATCTGATGCCACCGCATTCAAGAACACCCTAGAGACATACGTGTTTTAGGTTTAGGACAGCAAATTCCAAGCTAGTTGCATCATTTTTAAAAATTGCTACACCGCCATTTTTGGTTTCTCTTCTAGAGAAACTAGTACATAAACTGAAATATTTCAGCTTCGTTACAACCAGTTGGTCATTATTTTGCCAATGTTCAGAAAAGAATAACAAGTACAAAGTAATTCTTGTTCTGTTATCACATCTAACTGAACAATCTTATCGCCCAGACACTGAATATTCTGATGGTAGACTACAAATTTATTATTTCTATTAGATACATGTTGTTCAGTACATTTTGGGTTGATACAGAACTCGTCACACTTTATTTAGTTCCTCAGAGATAACTGGGAAAGTGGCGGGTATAAAAAATTGCTATTTTTTCTACTAACTTCTGTTTCATTACTAAATCAAATACATATTCTCCGAGTACTTGTATGACTCACGCCCATCGTAGTGGCCACATTTCTTGTAATGAGTGTGTACTAATGTATTGAGATTTGTCTCAATAGCTTCATCAATTACCGGAATTTCGCGCCGCTTGTTTTCATTTTGAAGCGATCAAATTTCGCGAAATTTCACAATGATTATATATCATAATCTCCAAAGTGCCACGAGTTTATTTCATTTTTTCAATTCTATTTTAGATTTTCCAGAACAGCCTTTGAATCCACCAAGTATGGCAATGTTCGAAGAAAGAAATAACCGAAACGATGTAACTGTTTCCGTATTTGTGAAATCACTGAAAGATCTGATGAAAAATGAAGCCTTCCATGTACATAACATAGCATTTGGACTTAACGTCGCAATATATTGCGTTATTGGAACATTTCTGAATCAATTGGTATTGAGTTACTTCCCAGTGAGTCACAATCCATTAATTATCAATGTATAATATACATCATTAGCAATGAAAATGACAACCACTCAATCGATTGACAATATTTATTTGGTGTTGATACTAGCAATGAAAGTTTTTTAACACATCAAATAAATTTTTCAAACTTCGAGATTTTTTTTCAGAGTTCTTCAATAATCTGGAAACAAAAATTCGAACTCCATAGAAAAATTCAAACTTGAATTATCATTCTTTTCGGAGAATGATATGAAATACTTGACAATAATGTTGCAAATCACTATTTGAAAATGACAACCCCTTAATCGATTGACAATACTTGGTGTTGACACTAACAATGAAAGTTTTTTCACACATGAAATAAATTTTCCAAACTTTGGTATTTCCTTTGTCAGAGTTCTTCAATGATCTGGAAATGAAAATTTGTACTCCAAGGAAATATTGAAACTTGAGTTATCATTTTTTTTGGAGAATGATATGACATACTTGAAAATGATGTTGCAAATCACTATTTCTCAACTCCAATGTCATATCTTTCTACAAGTCCTCAAAATTGTATCGATAAATTCCCATTTCTCAAAACAAACATTGTTTTTTAGCAATGAGTTTGAAAAAATGGACATTTATTTGAGAAAAGTTTCAGGTTGAGTGGTACCTATTCGAAAAGATTATTCACTGAGATATTCTCAGTTGAATACATCCATGTAAGAACAAAATGTTCAATCTCAAATTGAATAAATTTTGTTACCAGAATAACGAGAAATTTAAGCAAAATTATTTATTTCAAAATACAATGTTCGAATATATGAACAGAGTCCGTTAATAACTGAGGTCTTAAGCTTGTCGCTCACTTCTCCGGCACAGCACAGTACGGCCCGTCCCGTCAAAATAATGATAGGATTGGAACAGTGAAAATTAATGGACAAACGCTCGGCATGGAACAGCTAAAGGCTAATTGCACACACGGACGACCGGTATAAAATCGGCCGTCCACAATCGGTGTGTGTGCATTTAGCGTAATTGCACACACACCGATTTTGGACGGCCAGTATAAAATCGGCCTATATTTTATTGGTAGCGGGTGCTTGCAGACTCACCGGATTTTTACCGGTCACCCATTGAAATTGTAATTAGCACGCATTACCAAAACTAAGTTAATACCTAGTAACTACAATTTCACCGAGCAGTCGAGACTGGAATGGTCGGTAAAAAACCGGTGAGTATGCAAGAGTGTATTTAGTCACGTACGCCACTACTTTCTGGTACTGCCGGCGATACAGTGGCAGTGGACGGCTGCTCACCGGTATTCACCGTCCAAATTCCAATAGTGAACCACATGTGGGAACGGGACCTGGCACACACGCCGACCGGTGATCGTCGCCGGTAAAATACCGGTGATTAGTGCAGTTTTATTACTGCAAAACTCTGTTTTGGTGTCCTAGTCATCAATTTTTTCATCATTCCATCTGTATGAAGGAAATAATCGATGAAATAAGATAAATAGAATCCAAACCTATGGTATGGAATGATTCTACCGAAAACACTTTTTCTATTCCAATTTCTGGTGTATTTTTGTTGTGAAAAAAGTATTTTCGATAGATCGATAAAGTACACAGATGACTGCCAAATGATAACTAATGATTGAAATTACAAAAATATTTCTATTGGTGGTCACCTTGGTCGATTGATATTTCACTTTGTTTGTTCGTCACTAGAAATTATGATTAGTTTTCAAAACGAATGACACTGCACAAGTTCTGGTCCATAACTAGATCACCACAAATATTGTGCTGATTACTTTCATTAAATCACCATCTATCTTGTGAAATGTGAATAGAAAAAAATGTCCCTCTCAGAGAAAAATTACTGCTACTGCTGCAGTAGCAGACAATACATTTTGTACAAGTTCCATTCGATCACGGCCTACCAGCCCGGATTTTGTTCTTTTCAATAATACCAAAATTACTTGCAATTCATTTTTTAAAACAATTACAACCTCACAGGGTGCCCAAGAAGACGCTGGAAGAATGGGTTCGTTGATGATAATTGCTGGTATTGGAGGATCAGTATCAACAGGAATCATACTTGATAAAACCCATAGATTCAAGTGAGTACTTTTTTCTCACAAATTGATTTTATTGAACATCCTTTCAATTATACTCCAGCGTTGATTGTTTTCAAGTAGATTAAAGCAGAAATAACAATAATAGGAAATATTTTTGAATGTTGTTTAAGGTTGTTTCATGTTATGAAACTCAATGATATCACTCTCATTAGGGATATTCTTCACGAATCAATTTCATTTTGAAATATTACTGTTATCATTCATAGAGAAATAATATTACACTCAAAAAACTGGTCATTGTTCGCCCAAATGATTAACGACGCTACTCTTGATATAAAATGATTTGAAATCCCTGAAAGAACTAAAAACGAAGAATTAAAATTCAATAGCTGAAAATAACGATTATATTAAGCAAAAAAAACTGAAATGGAATAATAGTAAAATAGAATACAAGTAAAAATTGAACGAAAAATAAAATCAAAAAGTTGAAAGATTTCAAGCACAGTTACTTTACGACGTTTCGATTGTTGGTATCTACAATCGTCTTCAGGTGATGACTGGACTTATTCCTTCGAAAAATTTCTATTTATGGGTCATTGGAATACTTTCACTTTCTCCACTTTACTTTTTCCGCTTCACCGGTTGAGTGGGAGGACAACATGTATGCGACTTCTTTGAATTTTCTCCTTGACCAATGTTTCTCTCTGTGTATGATCTCATCTTGGGAGTACTCGATGTTATGTTGATAGGTCCAAACATGCTTTGCTATTCCTGATTTGCTGGTTTCCCCTCGCTGTGTGTTTTTCTTATGCTCGGCAATGCGAACATTCAACGGCCTTTTAGTTTCACCGATATAGGATTTTCCGCACTCGCAGGGTATCCGGTAAATGCAATTCTTGAAATCGCAGTCCGCGTTTGGTGGCCCGGCTTTCGTGAGGCTGCTACGAATAGTGTTTCCGGATCTGAAGCAGGTTCTGATGTTGTACTTGGAACCAATTCTTCTTATCCTTTCCGATAGTCCTTTGATGTAGGGAAGTGCAAACACTGGTTGTGACGGCTTCTCTTCCTAGCGAGGCTCCTGTTGTCTTTTAGCCAAAGTCTGTTCTACCATCGCTTTAGAGTAGCCATTATGTTGAAGATCATTTTTGATTATGTCTAATTCCTTCTCGAAACCTTTGCATTACAGAGCTCGAAAGCACGGTCTAATAGAAATAGAGTCTTGATGATTCCTCTTTTAGTCGATTGATGGTGGTTGGATTCGTGGTTCATCTCCCACTGAACCAGTGAAGCGGAAAAAGGAAATTGGAGAGTGAAAGTACTCGAATAACCTATAAATAGTAATCATTTGGAGGATTCAGTCCAGTCATCACCCGAAGACTTGTGGATACCAACAATCGAAACGTCGTGAAGTAGCTTGGCTTGAAATCTCTTAACTTTTTGTTTTATTTTTTGTTCAATTGTCCAACTTTTACTTGTATTTTATTTCACTATTATTTCATTTCAGGATTTTTGCTCAATATAATCGATATATTCAGGTATTCATTTTCAATTCTTCGTTTTTAGTTCTTTCAGGGATTTCAAATCATTTTATATAATATCAGACAATGGAAGTCCGAACTAGGTCACTGCTCATAATCATGTTGCGACTTGCCAATACATTCATGGATATAGATTGAATAGTTTCATTGAGCGCTTTCAAAAAAGTCGTTACACAGTACCAATACAATGTAAATATTAGAAACTTCAATTAAGCATGTTTTAGATATTAGACTGTAAGCTATACAAATGTATCAATGTGAATTTATAATTCAGTTTGTGATAATTATGATTTCATTTACAGAGAGACATCTTTTATCACTTTCGTATTGGGAACCATTGGATTAGGAGGAGTTTTGTATGCCCTAACGGCTCAAAATAAGTGGTTGTCATATCTGGCAATTACTATGTTTGGGTAAGTCTTTTCACGAGTCTACTCGTAAACTGATAAGTATGAAAGAGAAATCCCTATAGCTACGAAGTTTAAAATTTGTTCGTTCCAAATTATGAAGTATTGAATTTGACTAAGACTCACCGTGATCATCTGATAGGATGTTCTGAAGTCGAATCTAATGGAACGCAATAAGTAAGAAGAAACTTGTTATTGATATGAGGAAGATATAGATGAAGGGCATTGAAGGATTTTTCAGGTACGGTGTTTACAGATGATCCGAGGAACATCGAAACGTCTGATCTGTGATTGTGCAAATTTGTTGACCGATATAGTTGATTTGATTCCAAGCTATTCCAAAATAACGTTAGATACCGTTGATATCGCTCTTCATGTGATGATACAGTGTTTCGTATTCCATAATGTGCAAAGGTGAATTGAAAAGTGAATGTGAATTATTATGACACTGACACTAAAGTTATATATGTATATGCATGAAATGTTGTCCCGATTTCTTTGAATTACTTTTGAGAATCCATGATAATCCAGAAATATCAACGGTGTATATCCAGTCTAAGTGGGTCAATTTTAAGGTGGCAATCCTGATACTTCAACGATCTTCAGCTTTTATTTGCGAAAACTTCGTTTATTTGTTGTTCACAAAAAATAATAATATTGGCAACAACAGTTATATAGAAATATGGACTATTTGCATTACTTTGCGGCAATATCAGAATTACTACAGGTGGTCTTCAAGAATTGCTGATACAAAAGTGCATACCAGCAACCACCACTCTATAGACATCTTAGTTTGATGAAATTATGCAGAAGAACTGAAAACTGAATTCACAAATATCACTATCCATTTTAGGAACATGAAATAGAAAATACACCGTTTATGACACTTATTTATGGAATGCTGTATATATTGACTTGTATTGTCAAAATATACATTACTTCCCTCATCAAATATTTCCTCGAAATGACCGTTTTAGTAGAAGGAAGTGTATTTTGTCCGAATATTGGCAAAACTAATCTCTCCTTAAAATATTTCCTTTTCAATTCTAACTCAGATAATCACAACATTGAATTTATCCATTTCCCAAATTTGAAAAAAAATTGTTTGGATGAAATTTAACAAGAAGTTAACCACGAACTGTCATCTCAGGAAGAGTCATCATTATAAATTTCATAAAACACAGAGTAATAAATGAATTTGTTGGGTATAACTTTGAAATATAAGAATTTTCATAACATTGAAAATATACAAAAACTTTTTGTGACAACATTCAATTTACTGGTTGTTGTTATGAATGTTCCAGAACATATTTTTATGATTTTTCAGTTTGCAAAGAAACAATGTGTCCTGAAAAAAAAACAGTTCAATCTCTACACTCTTGACTGACTCAATTTGGATTACGACACTTTTACATAGACCCTTTTCATCACATATAAATTGTACTATGTATTTACAACGCATCATAGTTTTTCACAAAGATATAAGCACAAAACCTGCTCTTAGTGAATTCCAGAGCAATATAACGAAACTTCTGGACAGCTGTCTGTTCAAAAAATGAGGTAAATACGGTGACTGAGACATGAATACTGTGTTGTTTTTGGACAAAAAATCACGAACGAGCATTATCGTGATGTAAAAGCTATGAATTGTTTTTCCACAATATCGAACGTATTCTTCGTATTGCTTTTCGCAAGCGAAGCATAAATTCAAGATAATATTCCTTATTGACCTACAACCATGTGACAAAAACTCCTGATGCAGTACGCTACGGTAATCGAAAGAAACAATTAGCAAAATCTTGACATTCGATCGAACTAGGCGTGCTATTTTTGGCCTGAGCTCTCCTGGATTCATCCACTGAAACGATTGAACTTTGGTTTCAATGTCATGACCATTCATTAGTTCAGTTAGGTTAGGGTTAGGTCCAAATTGAGTGGGTCTATTCGACCCTCCACCGCAACCCGCAAGGGTTTATTGTGGCTCACACCTATTCACACTCGGCCAAATAAACCCAGCTTCTTAACGAAACCGATTAGTTTTTGTGGTGAGTAGTCTTTCAGGTCAGATGGTGAAAGTACGGCTGTGCCGAACTCTAAAGACCTGATTTTGTTCCCAGCGGGACAGGCACAAAGTATATGCTCTGTTGATGAGGTAGTCGGATAGTCAAGTTGCAAGATTCCCACCTTGATACACACGACAACCTTCCCATATAAGGGTTTTTGCACGTCAGCTACATCTGACCTTAGATTCAGCCGTGCAGGACCTTTTCGCCTCTGGTTTTGGTGAATCATCACTAGAGCGCAGACGTTTGCTGACCTACTCATGGGGGGTTTGTTCCCCCACCTGAGACAGATTCTGCGTACGCCGCTCAAGAATTTGGCGCAAGGCAAAGGTACCCCGCTCTTGAGGAGACGACTCAGTCGTTTACCAAACCTTTTTTTAAAGTTCAGTTGTTGGATCAGGAGTTGGGGAATTGAGAAACTCTCGCTCCTGAACTAAATTTATAGGGAGGTCAGTTGGAGTCGTAAACTCGACATCCATCTTCTCTGTAGACTCGCTCCTGGATCAAATTCACAGGGAGGTCAGTTGGAGTCGTAAACTCGACATCCATCTCCTCTATAGACTTGCTCCTGAACTAAATTTACAGGGAGGTCAGTTGGAGTCGTAAGCTCGACTTCCATCTCCTCTATAGACTCAGCGTCAGAAAGAATTTTTGAGTTTACTCTGTCCATAAAAGTCCCACGAGTAGCTAGGGAAAGAAGGTCAATCATGGCGGAGCCCCGCATTACCGTGACAAGGCGATGCTACGACGAGAGGGCGCCTGGTATCTCGAAGGTTCCGTAGAGACAGCTGAGTGTCATTCATCCTCTCGGCACAGATACACACACCTTAGGATTGAGCCATCGTTGGGATGCCATTCAGTTAGGGAATAATAGAACCACAAGTGATTCTGTCATTCCCGTATCCAGCGGAGCTACGTGGAAGCAGGCATCCGATGGCTGGTTTGCTCAACCTCCACATACCAAGACAATGCACTCGCTGAAAACAGCATGCACAGTGGTTCAGGCAGTGAAAGATGAACAAGGACAGCCAACTCGCCATAGTTCGGACTTCCATTGTCTAATATTATATGAAATGATTTGAAATCCCTGAAAGAACTAATAAAAATGAAAATTAAAAAAGAATTGGCGAAAATAACAATTATATTAGACAAAAAAACCCTGAAATGAAATTACAGTGAAATAAAATACAAGTAAAAATTGAACAATTAAAAAAATCAGAAATAAAAAAATTAATAAAGAATAGAGAGATTCCAAGCCAAGCAACTTTACGAATTTTTGATTGTTAGTATCCACAATCGTCTTCGGGTGATCATGATTCGTCACCAGTTATGATCCTTTCAGGCAAATCTGATTCGCCGTTACCGTCATTCAACAATTTCTGAGCGATGCTCATGCGACGGATTTCTGGTCAAAATTCTGAAATTTTGGAACGAACTTCGCTGCCACATGCTTCAGGCCCAAAATTGCATGGCAAGAGCCAACCGATGTGTCGACATCATAAGAAAATCTCTAATAGTGATTCGACAATTCTCAACATTTTCATAGGTACTGGGGCATTTAGGGCCAGCGTCATCATTCACATCTTCTAGAATTTCTGTGAAAAGCTTGTACGACTTGTAAACACCGTCAACATTTCAAGTGTTTTCCTTTTTCACACAAAATTTGATGCAAATTTTTGATCAATATTTTTCAACAGCAGAAAATCTGCGAACAGGCAGAATACTTCTAGCCGACAAAATTTGTACATTCACCTTATTTATTGAACAGTCCACGTATGTTATGGGCTTTCATTGATTTCTCCCAGGCGCAGTCATAACTGATTTCTGAGCTATCGAAATATGATGTCAGGAGTGTACCTGTTCACTTTTTAAAACACTTTCCAAATAACCAAAAACAAGTTATTGATAAAGTTGTTGAAATGAATCAATCATACTCAAATATTACAAAAATAACACAAAGTGTTTCATAGGAATATTACTGTAGATTTTTCCCAACACCAAACTGTTATTTTAACACCTCGACATGTGTTTCGTTCACCAAGTGATCAATTTCAAGAGAAAGATAAGATGATCACTTGGTGATCGAAACACGTGTCGAGGTGTTAAAATAACGGTTTGGTGTTGGGAAAAAACTCCATTTATATTCATTTCTACACCAAAGGTTCTAAACAGTGCATCACAAACACGTTTCATAGGACTCGATTTATGTTGCTCTGAATGAATAATATGAATGCATTGAAAATCAGCTGAAAATATTCTAAACCGACCTGAAAAGAACAGTCTCAACTCGTTAATTTTGTAAGAAAGTAAGTAATATTCCTATGAATATTACTGGAGTTTTATCCCAATACCAAACCGTTATTGTCGGGATTTATTACAGATCATGACAGTAAAAAAATGTTGCTAGTGGAACTGTAAACGAGCTGTAGAAAATACCTTCCAGTTTAGAAGAAAATTTTTATGTAATTGATACTTGAATTGAGATATTGTCAGTATAACATGACATTATATCAACAACACAATGTTTCACAACTGATGTTTTGAAAGAAATGATAAGTATCGGAAAGTGCACAACTTGTAGGTAGAAAAATTTAACAGAATAAATATTTTGTGATTGGAGGTATTGTTATCGTACTCAAGCAGTATCAACAGTGAATTTTAAGGGAAGTGAAATATTCTCGTTGAACATTGTGCAATTGAAAGCAACAGAAGAGTAAATTTCACAAATATTTAGTTATGGAATTCTATATTTCAAAGGATTATTCGTTATAATTATTGAATTGAAAGGGGTGAATTTTTAGCAAAGATCAATTTTTGAGACAGAAAGATTTTGTCGTTCTTCGTTTTCGAAAGATTTTCACATTTTTTTGTATAAAGATAGTAGAAAACCAAATTTTTTTCCTAAAATTATTAATTTAATAATTATTAGTCACTTCTCAGTAGAAATATTTATTGAAAATGAAAACTAGCCAGTATGATGTGAAACGCAGGAAAAATTTAATATAATTCAAGAACGAGGTTTTAACGATGAACGAGAACGAGAATGTTTCCTACTTATTCACCAAACTCAAACAAATTTTCATGTTGTTGCAGTTTCGTAAGGATGTATCATCTCTTCCACCAAGCGATTTTCTGGAGTCTTTGAAGTTTACTAAATACTCGTTAGGACAACAGGACGATTGCTTCGAATTCTTGGGGTTCTTGTTGAATACTCTTCGTGAGCAAATATATATCTAAATCAATACTCCTGACCGCTCTGGATTGAATGATTCCGTACAGTCTATCTCGTCTTGTATTTATAGATCTTTTGAAAAATCGGCGTGAAAAATCATCACTTGTTTACTTTGTAGTAAATGTTCAAGAGGTAGCAAAAACGAATGTGATTTTCTGTAACTTCAACTTGCATTGTCTAATATAACTGATAATCAGTCCGTGCAAAGCTTATTGTTGAATTATCTGAAAATTGAACTTTCAACGGGTAATTATCAACTGTATTGCCAAACATGCGCCAAACTGACTGACTATTATAAGAAAACAAGTAAAGCTGAGGCACCAGTCAACCTAATAATAACACTGACGATCTTCAAACATGACTCAACCTGTGACGGACGCATCAAACTCTTATGAAGGTTTGAAATGGATGAACACTTCAATTTAGCAGACCACTATTATAATCTTCATGCAGTCATTGTTCACTGTGCGTTGAATCTAGTCATCATTACGCATTGGTCAAAGACGAAACACACTGGTTTAAATTTGACGATAGTTGTGTCAGTAAGTGTTCTGGCAATGTCTTGAATTTATTGGAGCCTCTGGAGATACCCTACGTTCTGTTTTACGAAAGAGAGGACATTAGCAAATCAAGATCACCAGATGATGTGGTGCTGTAGGTTTTTCCGGGTTTTCCTGCAGCTGAAAAAGGAAATGCGCCACTGGAATCAATGAAGTCGCCCGGGAATGCCAATTATTTTTTGTTGTTTCATGATTTTATGATTTGTATTACTTTCTTCTTCAATATAATTCAATCCATTTATCTATCCTTAGCTTTTTTTATCTGATACCATAATCATTGCAGGATTTTCCTGAGTGCTTATTTACCGGCCGGAGTGGAGTTTGCTACAGAAATAACATATCCTTCACCTGGGGGTACAGTGCTAGGAATTCTATACGCCACATCGCAGGTTTTCACCGTCATTCTCACCATTATGTTTGGAGTGGTTTTAGCAAAATTTGGAACATTTTGGGTCCTCATTGGTATGATGATTACGATGGCATTGGGAAGCATTTTGACAATAATGACGCCGAACAAACTGAAGAGGCAGGAATTTTTCAAAATAAATAACGGCGTGACATTCACGCAGCTTCCCCAGGTGGATAATAGCCATTGGGGATGAAGAAAATTGTTTTATAGATATAGTATAGGTACTGTGTACCAAACAATTAGTATAAGGTTAACTTGAATGAATTAAAATCATTAGAACACATATACTATTCCTGAGTGGTATATAAAAATTTGGCGAATATTTACTACAACCAAAGTTGAGGTTGCAATCCTGTTTATGTTTTTGCTTAAAAACTCTCACGCGCGTGAGAGTTGAATAACCACGTTTTTAGATTTCAGATGTATTAGTTAATTTTTATACTTGATAATGGGATAAAACCGAAAACCAGTCGTTAAAATTAAACAATTAGTGGGAATTAGACAACAGTGTTTTAATTTATTTCATTGAAGTGATCATGAATTTCCACAAAGTAAAGTCATCGATTACACAAAATAACTTTAATATTTATATTATACGAAAGCGTTGAAGGGCCACACAAAAATATTTTTTTCGAATTGTATAAATCTGACTTTCTCAACTAGTTGACAGTACTATTAGAGTACCACAAGAAGAAGCATTGGGCCCTGTAGTTATTACATTACAAAAATTTACGATGAAAATTCACATCAAAACATTTCAGAATCACACTATATTTCTGACAAAGAATGTTGATCATTTCGTTCAACTATAGTAAATATAGTTAATCAACAACGCTTTGGAATAATGGTCAAATGGATCATACATCGAATAGGCGCTTCATCTGTCATTGACGATTAAAAATAGCATCCGTTGAACGGTATCTCACAAATCCCAAACGAACAAAAAAGGCGCATCTCAACATACCTTCATTACCATGTAACAAAACTAATGAACATCAAATGTATATTCTTCATCAACTAGTACAAATATTATGTAAATTCACAACATAAATTTACTTCAGAAAGTGGACTAAAGAGATCTGTTCTGAATCAAAATCTTCATATGAAATGTTTCGAGACATGTGTGACACAAAAATCTTGAGGTTACTTATAGGCCAAAATTTTTCACATTCGTTCCAGCTCACTTCAAATAGACAAAAACCCTCAAGAAATACAAACAGGAAGTGAAGTGTACATTAGTTATCAATTAAGGGTGAGTGGTTGGTATTCACCACAGTGAAGTAAAATATTTGTGGAATTTCTCAACCGACTTACCGTTGACAGATACTTTTTTGCTGAAATGTCCTTCTTATTATTGAAAATATAGAGATAGAGATACTATATGTAGAGATCTCAATTAAAAATAAAGTTAAATACAATATTTCTTTGAGATCGAATAAATAATAATGATAATAATAATAATATTTATTTCACTTGTTGAACAGTATGAGAGCATTACAATGAACATTTACATATCGTAACAAGGAAGACGTCCATGTATAGGTAAAAATAAATATATATAAATATAAAACAACAAAACACGACACATACTAAACTGTACATATGAAGGTAATTAACAGTTTTTTTTTTATCGAGAGTAACTAATAAAACTCGTCAACGGTGTAGCAGTTTCTTTCGATATTTTTTCAATTGCCTTTTGAAAATGCAGATGTCCATTGAGTCCTTAATAGAAACATCTAGCTTGTTATACAGTTTGGGTCCAAGGTATAGGTGACTCTTCTGATAGAGGGAGGTTCAGTGAGGATTCGCTATCAACAACCCTCTCGTTCTAGTAGCGTATGGATGGTCTTGCTGGTTTGCGCAAAACTTTGTTTCATTCTCATGAACGTAGAGACACATCTCATATATATACAGACCAGCAACTGTGAGTATTTCCAGCTCTTTGAATGAGCTTCTACATGAGTGTGGCCATCCTAAACTAGCAATTATTCTGACCGCGGGCTTTTGTAATATAAATACTCTTTGAGCAGAGAAGCTCATACCCCAATTTAAAATTCCATAGAGCAAGTAACAGCCAATAGTTGCATAGTACATATTTAGGAGCACCTCTCTTCCACAATGATTCGACATAAATTGCGGTGTGGTTCAAACCTGAAGAGGTAGGTGCTCGTAATGAATTGGAATGAATGTGAAATATTATTTATAATGGATAAACTCAAAAACTACCTACTTAAAAAAATTATTTCGAACGTAGAACATTTTCTTACCAATGTTATCAGCGAGTAACATGAGTTGTATATCGAAAATTTTTCTATAACGCGTGTGCGTCAGAGTGATTCACTAGTTTCAAATAAGTTTCAAATATACAGCTAAATTTAAATGATACATTATTCAACAACTGACATCTGGGAATGACTGAAGAGTTGAATATGCGCAGAACGTTTTCTTCTCGAAATAAAGTGAAACTATTCTTTTTTAAATAATAGCCTTTGCTCTTTAATATGGCGAGATGGTAGCCTGATGGGTTGACGTGGGTGTTTTACTCCATGCACTCAATCGGCTGCTGTGTGAACTGGTGGTTCGAACCGCAAGGCCGGACGATAGATTTTCACTTTCCATCGTCCAACCCATGTTCAGAATCACACGTTGAAACGTAAGACCTCGTTGGTCCTCAGCTCGCACAAGGTCAACGGAAAAACATATTTTAACTGATTTTTATCCGATTAGAAATTCCCAAATTGTCATGTCGTTGAGGCTTTACCTTCATTCAAACCACTATTGTATAGAATGATACCTCAAGAGGTATACCAAGAGGAAAACTGCCACATTTTCTCTTTGTGCAAATATAATATTATCGAAGAATAAAATATATGATAGAATTGGACGATACTTGATGAAAATCCATAACTAACGTTTTCAAAAAACACTTTATTGTGAAATTTTCACTAAACAGTTTTACAAAAACGCAACACGTGTTTCGCCACACAATGGCTTCTTCGGGCGTGTCTTCACTAAAGACACGCGAAACATTGTGTTTTGAAAAACTGTTTTGTGAAAATCTCACAATGAAGTGTTTTTTGAATACGTTATCGAAAAATAAATGCATGCATTGGATTGTCTATGAACAGATCAGAATCATCATCATCAGAATGAGATGATGATCATGAAAATGATTCATAAATCTTGTTTGCAATTTTTTCATGATTGGAATATATTGAACTTCATGAAAATGTCACATATCAGATAATTTTTTATAATTGATGAAAATACATGTCTCCTTAATCAACGAACGAAAATGTGTATTTCTTCTGATGTGCTTAGAACCTCAGACGATTGCTTCTGTCTCTCAAACATTCTTGTTGAATCTGCCATCAAAACTAAGTGCGGTGTGGTTCAAACCTGAAGAGGTAGGTGCTCGTAATGAATTGGAATGAATGTGAAATATAATTCATAATGGATAAACTCAAAAACTACCTACCTACTTAAAAAAAATATTTCGAACGTAGAACATTTCCTTACTAATGTTATCAGCGAGTAACATGAGTTGTATTATTTCATTTTAGTCCATGACCAAAACCAACATTTGAAGTATCTAAAAAAATTATTGATGATAACTCACCAAGTCATATATTTCATATATATTTTTCTCACAGTATTCACACATAAGTGTGAAAATGCTCTTTGAATCAGTAGTACACTATTACTGGAAATCTGACCCTCGATAATAATATACCTCCCATCTTCGAGGGTGCTAAATACCCAAAGAAGAACAATTGGGAGGTCGTCAAGAAGGTTATCACAGCACCGGCAGTTGAATAGGCTATCAAGTCGTTTCAGATCTCCAAATTTCCTAGAGAGGTATTCTTTGAAACAGACTGGAAATAATTTTACTTATTCTCATGAAATTGTATAGAGCTAGTCTGGCGTGTAACTATATACCACCCAGTTGGTTGGCAGCAAGGGTGGTATATAAAGTTGGTCGGAAAGACCCACACCCTAAATCGGTACGACCAATCAGCCTTACATCCTTTCTATTGAAAAGACTTGAAAGGATAGTGGACGGACACATCAGGAGGTTGGCATTATATGCATCCCCCTGAAAACCACCAGTATGCTTATCAAACCGACAAATCGACAGATTCAGCATTAAATAACCTTGTAGAGAAAATCTGCCGAACCCTTGACAACAAGGAGATTGTGGTTGCTATATTTCTCGATATTGAAAGATCGTCTCTGGCTAGGAAAGGTATAGAATCGACCATAACTGGCTAGATCTGTGCCATGCTGGTGAACATAACTGCAACTACTACTCTTCAAGGCGAAGACATTAGCTTCAGAGTCACCAGAGGCTGCCCTCAAGGTGGGGTACTATCTCCCCTTCTGTGTTCGCTTCTGATCAGACTGATGCCCTTGACATAAGGAAAGTAGATCTGAAGCTCATGTAGATGACCTTGTCATTTCGGCGAGGTCCATGTAAGGAAAGAAAGCTTGTAATATTCTCTAAAGCACGTTGGACGTTGTTCACAGTTGGTGCCTGAGGGAGCAGAAGTATGTCAACCCCAGCAAAACTGTGATAATCCCCTTCACCAGGAGGAGATGATTGGACGATCTATTTCCACTTTTCCTCAATGGTGAGGTCATTTCATTTGGAACGAAGGTAAAATATCTTGGCATTGACCTTGATGAAAAGTCATCTGGAACGCTCACTTGGAAAAAGTTTTACACGAAGCCAGACTTTCCCTATGGACATGTCGAAGGATTTGTGTTGAAACTTGAGGTTTAGGTCCCAAACAAATCCATTGGATTCATTTGATGATGATCAGACTAGTGATCACTTATGGTGCAATTGCCTGGTGTACGAAACTTCACAGAAAACGGTCCTGGCGAAGCTTTCTGGCTTACAGAGACAGGCTTGTCTGGCCATCAGCGGTGCCATCAGTATCACACTGTCAGCGGCCATGGAGATCCTTCTAGATCTACCTCCTCTCCACATTTTATCTGGAGAGAGTGGCTAGATGGACTGCATATAGACTTGTGCACATTGCACAAATCAATTCAATATAGAGTGCAACATACTGTTGGTTGACATTGGAAGTCACACCATTCTGGAAATGACCTCTGACTTCATGCCTTCAACTGGCAACTACGAACTGCCTTATCAAGTACTGTTCCCGAATAGAGAGAACTTGATCCTCCGTGAGAAGGAAATATTAAGAGCAGATAGTTGTTGGTTCACAAATGTATCAAAAACACCTTCCGGTTCTGGTGCAGGTGTTTTCAGTCGCAGAACCAGGACAGAGATATCAACCTGCGTAGGAACCTATGCGACTGTATTTCAAGCAGAAATCTACGATATTGAATTGTGTGTGGAGAGATTGGAAGAATCCAACCTCATATACAAGTCAATAAAAATATTCTCGGACACTCAAGCGGCGTTGGAAGCTTTTGGCTCTTACCGAGCAACGTCTCAATTGGTAGCAAATTGTCAAAAATTACTCTC